GCCCGTGGTGTATTCTTATGCTTTGCTACTGATTATGACTTTCGGACAATACTAGCGCAAACAACTACGCCATGCATGGTGGGGACTTCCCAGCAGCTCCTGAAGCCAACCAGGCCAACTGCTCTGGGATGCTGAGACTGCCACTGCTGCGTTTCCGGGGACATTAGATGAAATCTGGGGATGGAATTTGTCCAGAATTATTCGCAAACCGGGGACTGTCCCCAGGAAATGGGACGTCTGGTAATCCTATACCCAGAGGTCTCAGGGCGGTTCACAGAAAAGATCACAATATATAAAATCGAAATAAGAATAACCCAATAACACTCCAGAGCAAGATGAAACAATCTTGCTCCATCTTCCATGCAACAGCCTTTGAGATATTTGAAGATGGCTCTCATATATCCTATCAGTCGCCTCTTTTCCAGGCTAAACATACCCGGCTCCTTCGACCGTTCCTCATAAGGCCTGGTTTCCAGACCCCTGATCATCTTGGTCGCCCTCCTCTGCACACCTTCCAGCTTCTCAACTTCCTTCTGAAATTGTGGTGCCCAGAACTGGACACAGTATTCCAGGTGTGGTCTGACCAAGGCAGAATAGAATGGGACTATTCCTTCTCTTGACCAGGGTACGTTTGATGCAGCCTAGAATAGCATTAGCTTTTTTTTTTGTGCCACCTCACACTGTGGACTCACGCTAAGCCTGATATTTGAAGATGGCTCTCATAGCTCCTCTCAGTCTCCTCCTCTTTTCCAGGCTAAACATACCCTGCTCCCTCGACCGTTCCTCATCAGGCTTGGTTTCCGGACCCTTGAACATATTGGTTGCCCACTGTCAGGGGACTGCCATCGGAACAGGGAGGGAGGCAGGGGGCCCGTTGGGTGACAGCCATAAATGTGAATGAAGGCTGGGTAACATAAAGTCACTTACGTCATAACAGTGTTTTTGGGAGGGATAGAGAACTTGAATGGGTAAGTTCTATAAGCTCTTGGAAATATGACCCCACTAATGAGGTGGTCTCCTGGCCTGAAATAATTCAGCGGATCACTTTCCTCATTTAGGTTCAATGGGCATTTGGCTTTCAGCATCCCACAGGCTCCATGGGGCATAAGCAGCACAAATAGCAGCAGCACTAATATCATCCTGGCTATGCCTGCAAGAGTCATACACTCTTGTGACAGCAGTCACATTAGAAGCACAGCTGGACTCCTACAGTAGCTTCAGAAGCAGAGGTAGAAAAAGGAAGCCTCCCACAGAAACAAGCCCTGCCAGCCCCAAATCTCTCAGGCCTGGCTTCTGATATTTATGACCCAGTTCTTCTTTCAGGCTTTTGACAAAAAGGTATATCCTTCTGCCTCTGATGTTTATGTTATTTGTGGACTCCAAGGCCACCATTGGAGAAATCCCTGGAGTAAGTAAATTATCATAATTTTTATATTTATCAAGTTAAAAATGTCCACCTGCTCTGCAAGTCCCTTGAATCGGTGTGTGACTCAATGGGCAGCTGCAGAGCCAAAGCAAAACATGTTTGTGAGAACGCAAAGATGGGACTCTCAATCTGGGCCCTGCTAAACTTGAGGAAACATTAACTTCAGTAAAGTCCAATAAACTACAGAATAGCTATGATGGACCAAGACCAGCAAGGCAGGACTTGTTAGACATTTATAAATTCCTGCATGGTGTGGATAATATGGACAGCAAAAATTTTCCTCCCTCCCAGTAATAATACTAGAAGTTTGGACTTTAGACGGGAATTTAAACCCTTGTGTCCTAGGCTCCTGTCCAACTCCCTGATCACTACACCACACTGCCTCAGAACTATAGATTCATTGGCATCCAGTGGAGGTCTCGAACACAGAGATAAGCCATGAGATACTCACTTGAGCTAATAGAAGTTCGGGTTCATGAGACAACACAACCAGCTGATTGGCCCATTGGCTTTATACAGTAGCAATAAGATATGGCCTTAGCTTAGTAATATACAGGTATGTAGTAACAGCCAACTAGAGATTCAATTCTAATTCAATTCAGCTTCCAATGACGCTGAGTGTTGGAAGAGTCAGGACAGAGAAATCTGTTATAGACCTTGAAGATTGCTCCTTCCCTGGAAGAATTTCAATCATACACAGTTGGGCTGAGGAAGGCTATTAACATAAATGCTATCTATAGAGTCCAGTATGTAAAAATCCATTATACATTCAAGAACAGTGTGTTTTACTGCAGGTGTTAGTGGAGTTTGGGGCAGATTCTTGAAGATGTGGAACCTTCTGAAGTGACTCTCACTGCTTGCGAATGAGGCCTTCAGCTGTTGAGGTTCTATTGCTCTTTGAACCACTGTGGAAATTGTTTTTTGTAAGAACTCACTGATGGGCTGTGTATGTGTAAAAGTTTCCTGTGAAGTCAATAGTGCAATCCTAGCATCTCTACTTAGTATTCCCATTCAGTTTAGTGGGGCCTCCTCCCAAGTAAGCGGCTATTAGATTGCAGCCAAAAAGGGTTGGGAGGACATTCCTTCGGATGTCCTTGCCGCTCACAAAACAACTCATATGAAATGGAAAAGACTGAAGGATAATCAGATGTTCCGGATGATCCTGCTGGATGAACCTGGTCTTCTATTTCTGAAGGATCTTTTGATGGGACTGTAACGCTTGCAATAGAACTGATGAATCGTAGAACTGGAAGGGCCCCTGAGGATCATGTGGTATAAACTTCTGCAACGCAGGAATATGCAGCTGATGAGCTTGTTAGGCGCCGAAGTCCAAGTGGTCTTTGAAACATAAATAACCTACGTTTATGAGCACCTGTTATTCCTAATAAGTGGACTTATTCAGCAGCTGTTTCATCAGGGTAAAGGAGGGATGAGACTACATGTCTCTCCTGAGAGACTTGGAATGGGTGCCTGAACTTGCTGTTCCCCTTTTCCCTCCCAGACCACTTTTGTGTTGTGTCTCTTAGATTGTGAGCTGAGGGCAGGATCTGCCTTCTCGATATTTGTGAGTCAATCTTGGGAGCTTACTTGTGTAGCAGGACTAAAAAGCCAATAATGATTAAGCATGCATATATATTTATAAACCTCTCTTTTAAACTTTTTTTTAAAAAGTGTTGTGAAAACCTTTCTGTTGCCTTACTGTATCTAACATGTTAAGTGTTTTTTAGGTTGCATTGCCCATTTCTCCTGGGGAAAGACCTTCTTGAGATAAATTCTCTCACCCCCTAAGTGCAGACAGGAGACAGTGGTCCTTTTCCATACATGCAGGAGCATAAATAGCTGTGTGTGTGAGAGAGAGAGATAAGTGTAATATTCTGGGAGGCATAGCTAATTGTATATAATTTTTTTTATTAATTTTCAATTACAATACAGTGGTACCTCAGGTTACATACGCTTCAGGTTGCACGCGCTTCAGGTTATAGACTCCGCTAACCCAGAAATAGTACCTCATGTTAAGAAGTTGGCTTCAGGATGAGAACAGAAATCGTGCTCTGGCGGCGTGGCGGCAGCAGGAGGCCCCATTAGCTAAAGTGGTGCTTCAGGTTAAGAACAGTTTCAGGTAAAGAACAGACCTCCAGAATGAATTAAGTACTTAACCCGAGGTACAACTGTAACCCAATGACAATCACATTATCACAAACCAAATTACACCAGTTAAAAGGAGCCAATTATTCAATTGCCAAATGAAACATATTTAGGTGACTTCCCGTGTCTGGACTTCTGGGTGCGATGATCTTAATTAGGGCTTTAAAGGTCAGCACCAACACTTTGAATTGTGCTCGGAAAAGTACTGGGAGCCAGTGAAGTTCCTTTAGAATCACTGTTATATGGACCTTGTGGAGATAACCACAGCATGCACCATTCTGGTGAGACAGTTTGTGGACAGGTAGGGTCGCAGCTGACATACCATATGGAGCTGGTAGACAGAGTTAACCTGTGCCTCCATGGACACCTGTGAGTCCAAAATAACTCACCTGAGCACCTCGTCCTCCAGGGGCACCAGGTCTTTCAGGGGCACAGTTGCCCCATTCAAGACCCGCCCCTATCTCCGAAAAACAGTACCTCTGTTTGTGGGCAGGTAAGGTCGTAGCTGGCATACCATATGGAGCTGGAAGACAGAGTTAACCTGTGCCTCTATGGAGACCTGTGAGTCCAAAATGACTCACCTGAGCACCTGGTC